AGGGAGGCTGATTGTAGATGATCTTGGCAAGAGCAATTTCAGTGAAATGGTGGGAGGGAAAGTCAATGCCATGGGTAAGGGAAATAAAGGAAGGCTAGTAGGAAAAATGACTGTGGACAAATTTTACAGAGGTTTGACTGTGAAGGAGAAGAGAGCTGGAGGGGAAGAGAGGATTGAAGGAATGTGTTTTTCAATATAGACTTAAGCAGGTTTAATTGCTAATGGAAAAGAGTAGGCATAGAATGAGAAAGAGAGGAAGAGAGAGAGAGAAAGATAGAAGAAACAAGATAATAAAGTGGGAGAAAATGAATAATTGATAGGTTGAGGTCTCCAGAAAGGCAGGAGGCAGTGGAATTCACAGCACACAGAGAGACTGGTCACTTTTTGTTGTGGAGAGGATGGGTGAAGTTGCAGGGAAGTTTGGTGGAAGGAAACGGAGAGAGTTGCTAACTAATTATGGCTTTTGTTTTCTCTGGAATCTAGATGGTGAGACCATCTGATGAGAGCGCGAGGGGGAGGTTGTGCCACGGGAGGTGTGAGGACAGTTCAGAAGGTTTGAAACAGCTGCTTGTGGCAAATGGAGAGGGGTGACTAGGGAAACAAGAGGACTGGCATGTCGCTTGGGTGGAGTTGGAAACCATGCTTGCATGGTGGCACCAATGTGAACAGTTGTGTGCTTTTCTTCAACAGCCTGGGCACAGGTTCAGAAGATGTGGGCAGGTTGATGGACCCTGGGTTGGGAGGGTTTGAAGGAGACTGTGACAGAAAGGGAGTAGTGCAGGGGAGTTGGACGTATTGGTGAGGAAATGGTTGAAGTGATGATCTTTGGACTCAACTTGACTATAGAAGGTGGTGAAGATAGAAGGGGACTGAGGGGACAAAGTAGGGAAGGAAGAGTTGATGTTGAAGAGCAGGTGTAAAGGAGAATTGAGTGCTGGAACTGGAAAGAGTGGGCGATGGCCTGAGAGTGCTAGATTTAAATTGTGTCTTTCAGAGGTGGAGCACTGTAAGGGGGACAACACGCAGTGGAGGGGCCATGGGACTGGGTGAGCTGAGTTGAGTGGAGGGAGGCACTGGGCTGGCTCGGCTGGGCCCACTGACTATGGACCTGATTCAGGAGGTTACTTCCTGGCTGCCCTGGGATGTCTTAGCTCTGGTTGTGGCCTCAGGACCAGTTTTGTTCTGATCCGAGATTGATTCAGGAGGCGAAGGGAAACTTACTCAGGTTCTCTTGCTGTTGCTAGAAAATCACATAGGAGACCCAGAGTCAAACAACGGAGTTCCCTATTTTCACTTCTGGAAAATAAATATAAAAAAATGAGAGGACTGAGTAATTTTTCTTTATATATCACAGACAACACATTTATTGTTTTGCTGTTGAAAATTAGGTCTTAGAAGTTAATGGTTTTTTAATGTTTGATACCAAACATTTAAATATAAACAATTAGAAAATGATTGAAAATAAGCCATCAACACCAAATGCTGGTGAGAACGTGGAGAAACAGGCACCCTCATTCACTGCTGGTGGGAATGCAAAATGGTGCAGCCACTTTAGAAGATAGTTTGGCGGTTTCTTACAAAACTAAACATACTCTTACCACGAGATCCAGCAATGATGCTCCTTGATATTTACCCAAATAAGTTAAAAAACAAACAAACAAACTTATGGACTTCCTTCTCCAGATTTGATAATCCAATATCAACTCTCAACGATGTCTGAATATGGAAATAGCCATGCCAGTTTCCATTTCCAGAAAAAAAAGTCTTCACTGGATCAAATAAAAAGGTAGAATATAATGTCAAATGATTCTCCAAGAGGCAAAAATGGCAGCTCAGCCCTTTGAAGGATTGGGGGAGTTTGTTCCCTAGAGGAAGGGAGACCCCAGCTTACATCTAAGAGGTAGTATTTTCCCCCTGGTTTTGAAAGGATAAATAAGGACTTTTCTTTGGAGATGAGAATTTGAGGTGATTTGAGGTCGGGGTGGGGGAGAAACCTTTACTTTTTATTTTATGCTCTTCTACAATGAAATTACTTTTATAGTGAGTAATGACTACTTTTATAACAATATGTTTTTATTAAAAACTAACACTTAGATGAAAAGGAAAGAAAGGCAGGGAAGGGAGGGCAGAGGAAGGAAGGAAGGAAAGAAGGAAGTGAGGGAGGGAGGAAGGGAGGAAGGAGGTGAGGGAGGAAGGAAGGAAGTGAGGGAGAAAGGAATTAGAGCAAAGGGAAATGCAGAGAGACACAGCAAAACAAAATTAGGCAAAGCAATTACCAGAAATGCGCAGCAGGGCGTCAGCTTTACGCACTGAGAAATAGATTCACAGTGACCACAAGGTAATATGTGAGACCCACCTTTTCTGGGTCTATGGCAGTGGTTCCCAAACTTTGCTGCACATTAGAATCACCTAGAGAGACTGAAAAATTCCTGATGCCCAGGTTGCACCTGGCCCAATGAAATTAGAATGTCTGAGGGCAGGAGCCAGACATCGGTGGTGTTTTTTAAAGCTACCCCGGGGGCTTCAATGTGCAAAGTTTGGGACAAAAATTTCTCCTTTGGGTTTGCACAAAGGGCACATCTTGTGATGCAGCGGGCCTCCCTTTGACAGCATCCCCACTAGAGAGAGTTTTGGATGCTGGTGGAGGCTCTCTTCAGCACAAGCTGGCACACTCTGCTCGGGTGTGGCTCAGTGGAGCACACCTGTGGAGGGAGGATTTGGGTAAATGCAGCTCTCTAGTGAATTGGCTCGGGCCAGGGGTAGAATTTAGAGATTCTAGAATAATGGTTTTCAAACTGTGTTCTGAGGAGCCCTAGGGACCTGGTGGGTGGGGAGGGGGGCAGGTCAGCAGCCACCATGGGAGGGGGAGGGAAGAAGAACCAAGGGAAGCCCGGCAGGGGGGGGCTACCACTGCTGCTCCAACCAGGGCTGCTCTGGCTAGTCTGCTTCCTATTTAGGGCTCCCAGAAAAGACTTTGTTTGAAAAAAGCCTTTGTATTCTTAAGAGAGAGAGAGTGAGAGAGGGAGGGAGGGAGAGAATGAATGAATGAGAATTATTGATTTAAGCAGGGATCAGTCAGTGATGGCCCAGGAGCTAAGAATAGGTTTTCCATATTTAAATGGTTGGGGGAAAAAATTTCATGACACATGAAAATTTATGAGATTCAAACGTCAATGTTCATAGAGTGTCATTGAAACACAGCCACGCCCATTCATCTGCGTGTTATCTACAGTTGCTTTGTGGCAGAGTTGAGTCACTGCAGTAAAGACCATATGGCCTGCAAAACCTCAGATCGTTACTATATGGCCCTTTACAGAAAATATTTGCCTACTTCTATGCTAAAGGAGTTCATGGAAATCCCTATTTTTGTTGTTTGCTCTTTGCAATTTGATAACAGCCATCTCATTTCTATCAGAGAGGAAATTGAGAGGAGGACATATCCGTGTATCATATATATAAATAAATACTATGTGTACAGTGATTGATGCATTTCTAGACCTGCTTTCTCACTGTTCTGCCTTATTGCCTTGTGAGATAAATATGTACATTTTTTTTCTTTTAATAGACTTTTTTTTAGAGCAGTGTTAAGTTCACAGCAAAATGGAGCAGAAGGTACAGAGAATCCCGTGTCCTCCCTTCCCCCCAACACACACAGCCTCCCCCACTGTCAACATCCACACCAGAGTGGGACATTTGTTACAATGATGAAGCTACATTGACACATCATTATCACCCAAAGTCCCTAGTTCACATTAGGGATCACTCTTGGCGTTGTACATTCTATGGGTTTTGACAACCGAGTAATGATATGTATCCACTATTATACTATCATACAGAGTATCGTACAGAATAGTTTCATTGCCCTAAAAAACCTCTATGCTTCTTGGCCTATTCATCCCTCCTTCCCTCTAACCTCATAACTCCCTAAACACTAATCTTTTTACCGTCTCCATAGTTTTGTGTTTTCCAGAATGTCATATAGTTAGAATCATAGAGTAAGTAGCCTTTTCAGATTGGCTTCTTTCACTTAAATGCCTTTGAAGTTATTCTGTACCATTCTTTTTGATATTTGGTTAAGGACTGGGCCAGGCAGGGCTGGGCCCTGGATACCAATTTCTGAGGGCTACTGACAAGATGGAGAAAATTGTCTTTTCCAGAAATCCTCTTGGCGAGCGTGCTATATAAGGAGTAGGGGATGAGACTCCCAAAAGTCCAAGGATGGCAGATGGGAACTCCATTTGGCAGAGGGAGAGCAGTTAACTATAGGGTGGGCATTTTGCTCAGTAGGATCTGTAAGTTTGGAACGAGAATGGAATTGCTGGGGATTAAGACACCAGAGCCCCCAAATAAATAGTTGCCCCTTTTTATGTTTTTCCGTATTATATGAGGCCTCTACTCTAAATAAATGGTGTCCCCAAATTTGAAGCATATTGGTTTAAAATGTGTCAAATGATTAGCTTGCCTGGAGTGCCCACATGTCTTGCAATAGCCCAAGATATATATCATTGTTAGCATGATCTAAAAGGACTACCAACTTCGGAAGACTGAATTCTCATCCCAAACTTTATCTTGAGTATAAGCACATGTTTTGGTGGCTTTTTAGGTTTTTTTTTTTCATGGTGGGCAATACCATGGTTGGCATGGTCAATCATTTACAACATCGAGTGAGGCCACCAAATAACATCTCTGAACATCTTTGCATCATTGGAACAACTCGATCTATCAGAACGGTGTTATTGTCAAGGGGTCATTTGATTCCCAGAGTCTTAGCCTTGTCAAAATGTTCATTTAGGGCTTCTGAGAGAGATGTTCCAAGCTGATGCTGATTACACGTCTCTTAATGAGATTGTATTTATTACTTCTATTCAATTCAACCAACTCTATTGAAAGTCTGCTACAGGCACGGCATGGCGGAGGATGACTAGGACCAGAGTCTATTCTTGGCACTTAGTTAATGGAAAACATCTATTGCATTTGTTCCTCTTTTCCTTGTCCTATAGGTCCAATTGAATCCAGGACTTGGTGTTAGGAATGGCGAGCTTTCCTTTCTGAATGGCATCTCGGGAGCTGACACACTTCCCCAGGGCTCCAGGCTGACCCCTGACTCGGCAAGAAGCACTCTAGAGCCGAGGAGCCGAAGGAGCCGGGGCAGGAGGGTCCAGGTGGGTTCTTTGGAGCGCCCTGAGCCCGGAGGGAGCACAGCATCAGACAGCTCTAGTGGCACTTCGTGGAAAAGCCCTGGTTCCTCATTCCAGGCCAGCAGCCCAGCCGCGGGCACCCCGCTGCATCTGCCTTCTCTTCACCTTGAACCTGGGGCCAGAATGAAGGTCCTCAGCCAGGAAAACAGCTCCGAGAAGCTGGAGGCAGAGACGAGTGTTGACACAGGGTTCACCATGGTCAATTCTGAACCCAGGCCATCTTTTCTGAGCAGATTTCCAAGGGATCCGTGGAGCAGCCAGCCACCATCCTGCTTGCCAGTCTCCTCCTTAGGGGCAGCTGCTTCCAAAAACAACAGAAGCTTTAAGGAAAGGGTTCATCCTTTGTCACTTGCTGGCCAAAGGAAATGTGGAGCAAGGACGATAATCTCAAAATGTCCCCTTCATCTGCCAGTCCAGGATGGAGAAAAAGAAGAAGAAGAATTCTTTATATAGCATAAAACAAATGTGGTTTTCTAAAACACAAGATCAGCTACAATGTTCTAGAAATGGAGCACTGACTCAGAATCAGCCTGTTTCTTATCCATCTGAGGGGGGCTGAAGGCTAGCCATGCACGGATCTGTATTGCTTTTATTTCAAATGTTCAAAATCTAATGGTGCCGTGGTTGTTTATTTGCTGTCGTGGTCATAAGGGAACACAGCCAATGCACTGGGGAAAAGCCCAGCGCCTCGTGTCCTTGGAGACACACGAACCCAGCTGGATGTGTTGAATTGAGCAACTATCAGGATAATTGCATTGTATGCAAATGAGTTGGATATGCCACGCAATGCTGATTAGTGTATGTAATTTGGTTTTAATTTTTACTTGGGTTGCATAGCTCATTCCCCTGGACAGCATGGACTATTTATTCTTCAGCGTTTTTTAATTTTTATGTGACCTCCTTTGGTAACGAGGCCCCGTTCACCACATGCTCTCTAGTGATTTTGCCTGTAAAGCTGTTTGCCTCTGGAATGAGTTAACATGCAAAGTGTTTTGAAAATTACAAACAATTTATTTTTTTCTTGTTTAATGAGCAGAAACACTGGAAGCCAAAAAATTAGGTTAAAAATGAAAGCTGGGCTCTAGGGGTTTCCTGCTCCGTTTCTCATTTGTTTCTGCATTGCTCCAATGGGGCCAGTGGTTCACGTTATTAACCAAAGAGGAATGTGATCTGATTGGAAGGTTCGCGATCTCCACTGAGCGTGGCAGGGAGATTGCATTGGTCAGGTCACTGGAGCAGGACTTGGGTTCTTCTGGCCATGTCCAAATTCCTAAATTCCTTTGCAATACTCATTCATTCATTTACATATTTATTTAATAAGCATTGATTGAGCACCTAAGTTTGAATAAGACATTGATATATGGCACACGTATATTCTATGGCCATCAAACCCGAAAAGTGTTTATGGTTTCACCAGTACGATAAATCCATTCTATCAACTCTTAAGAATAACTCCAAACATATTCCTCTGCGAGCTTTTTCCACAGCTGATTCCCACACCTGGTGCACAAGGCTGCAGTAAGCATTTATAACCCGCAGATGGAGTCTGAGCATATTATAAATTACAATTATAATCCTAATGGACTAATTCTCAATTGCTCATATTTTCAGAAGCATATTTTGGTTGGGTCTATACACACATTACAAAAAATCTGAGGTCTGTGTGTTTCAGTTAATTGATAATGTTATTCGACTCCATGAACTTCATTTTCCAGGACAGATGTTACATAGACTATAAATGCTGATTTAGCTGGATCTTTTGGAGACCCTGATACTTAGTACACCCAATCGGAGAGAAGGATGAGTTCAGGCCTACGGTCGAATCTTATGGCAACTGGACTGGGTGAGCTGGGGTGCACGGGCCGGCTAGAAGAACAGAAATGGAGGAGAGTGGCAATGGACAAAGAGAAGACTTCTAAATTGATTTTTTTTCTTTTGTCCTTACAACATCAATATATTCTCATTTTCTTTCTCTTCCTTCAATTAAAGTTAGATCTTAGAAAGTGGAATAAAGAACTTAATTTTGGTATGGTTTTCTATAATAAGAGTTAAAAAAATGAAAGTCTTATTGAAGTTGAACTGTTGAGCTGCCTTGAAATGCAAAGCAGGGGAAGTTCTGAAATTTCTTTCCCACTTTTCTTGAGGTTACCGAAATTTCTTTAACATAATCCATGGGTAAGAATATAAGTACATGGAAATTATGAAGAATATTGAGAAATTTGAATGAGTACCTTACAAAATTGACTTGTAAAATAATGCACTCTTAAATGTCACCTACTCTATCCTCCTTCTCAACACGAGAATCTGATTTACAACTTGATGGATGGAAATTCTGATGGGCAAGGTGGGGGAGGCCCAGATTTTGGTTTCAGCTTTTAATTTTACTATTTATGTGACCTTGAACTGTCAGCTTCTTTGATCCTCTGTTGCCTTAACTACATAACAAAAGGTTGTTAGGAGAATCGAGATTATGCATAGGAAAGCATTTGGATGTTGTTAAGCACTATAAATATGTAAAATATTATTATTACAAATGGTCCTTCGGACTCATGTTTTTAAAATATCATGGCGACAAAAGACTTTTTTTTGAAACACTTTCATTAAAATCAATGATACAATTAAAGAAAAACTCAACTCTCTAAGATTTTTGACTACGAGCGCCATTTATGTTCATATATCTAGGAGGAAATTATGGATGCAAAGAATCAAATATATCCTCAAGTCAAAAGAGACTGTATATAACAGGGCTAAACTATGAACTAGTTTAATCTAATTTATCCAATCAGCCAGACTCTTAATTATACTGTATTCCTTAAAATGTATCACTTTCTAAATCCAAGGGTCTCCTGATCATCAGATTATTTTATATATTTTTATGGGTATACCTATTAAAAATCAGTTACATTCCAGTTGTTTGGCTACTTTTAAACTTATTAATAGTATCTCATGCTTTTTGGCAAGATTGTTTGGACACTGATAAACATTAATGGAAATGGTAACATTTGGAAACTCACCAGCACATTTGTCTGTATGTGTCCGTTAGGGGAAGTAGAGCAGGGGACTGGGGGCTGGGACACACCTTGATTTAACAAGGCTGGTGCAGTGGGTGCCTCAGCCGCACCCCATCTGCCCTCCGCTCTGATGGGACTTTGTACAGACGGTCCTGGTCCTTTCACAACGTCCAACACATCCAGTTCCACACTAGAGGCACTGACGATGCCACCAACGAGGGGAATGGAGCCAAGTGTGGGGAGAGGTGACAGCCCCTTTCTTCCCTCCCAGAGAAAGATGCAGAAAAGGGGAGAGAAACACAAGAGAAGAGAACGGAACCCCAGGCACACACCCCATTTTCTGTTCGTTAGAAACTCCTGAATGTCATCTCCATGTTATAAAACCTATTCAGAAATTCCTGAAATAACTTAACACCCTCTGCCTTTCTGGAATCTTCTCTTTGCCCTCATGTTTGGGCTGCTTCTCCCTTTTCCTTCTTTCCTCTTCCCCCTCCCTTTTCATTCATTGTTCTTTCCTTCCCTCTTTTCTCTTCCCTCCCTCTCTTTTTTTGTGTGTGAATTTGATACTCGCTTCATTCTTCATTTTGTTTTAAAATACCTTGTCTTTGCGGCATCTCCCTGGATTCCTCAAGGGGCTGACACACAGCTGCAAACTCTAAACAGCCCCTTGGCTGAGCTTTGTGAGAGTAAGAAAGAAGAGATGCTCCTTCTCTGAGGAAGTTCTCCCCACTTCCCAATTCATCCTCAGGATTCTGCTCTGGGATTACTAAACCCACATCACTTAGAAGCAAGCTGGTGTCTCTATCCACGGCTCTCTCCTTTCATCCCTACTAGACCTTTCTCTGAAGTCTGAGATGTTTCTTGAGCTGACTCACAATTAGCAATTTTAAAAATTGGCTATAGTATGTGATAGCAAAACAAAAGGTGTTTATGGCCCCAGGAAGCACATATTTAGGATTTATGTTATTTAGAACATGATCCTGCTAAACTTTATTTTCAAATATGTCGTTTAAGAAGTCTAGTTATTCCAGAAAACCTATCTGGGCTGCTTAAGACACGACAAGGTCTCTGCTTAGTGTGAGAAGAATGTATTCTATTTGCAAATTCCAATTCTGACAGTGATGTTTCTTTTAAGGACAATCATCCTAAAGAGGGACACTAATACTAAATCAGAGCTGATGCTGAATGGCTGCCCTGTGCAACACTTCCTACACGCAAGTTACTCTCCTAAGTATTTTGAACTTTACAGCAATCCTCTGAGGTCAGCGCTATGATTATCCCCATTTTACGGATGAGAAAACTGAGGCAGAGGGAGATCAAGAGCCTAATCCAGAATTGCACAATGAGGAAGTGACATGGTTAGGATTCGAATCCAGCCTGGCAGGCTGGAGTGTGTGCCCCTAACCACTCTGCGATCCTGCTCCTTGAAGTGGGGTGCAAGAAAGATGATAGCTTCAGCACGGTGCCCACACTGCCTCAGTGCCCACTCTGAGTGCACACACAGTGCCCACACTGCTACTGACCAGAGTAGGAGCTTTTACAGATATTTTGTTCAATGAATGCAGAGCAAGGGGTGGGAACACAGATGAGGCTTCCATTCTCTCGACTCCAGAGGGAAGAGATTGTCTTAGTCAGTGGGGCTGTCATAACAAAATACCACAGACTGGGTGGCTTGAACAACAGAAATTTATTTCTCACAGCTCTGGAGCCTGGAAGTCCAAGACCAAGGTGTTAACATGGTCAGGTTCTGGGGAGAACCCTCTTCCTGTCTTGTGGAAGGCCACTTTCTCGCTGTGCCCTCACATGGCAGAGAGAGAGAGCGAACTCTCTTGTGTGTGTGTGTGTCTCTCTCTCTTTTGATTAAAGTATAATTGACATAAAACATCTTAGTTTCAGGTATACAACAAAATGATTTGATATGTATACGTTTTGCAAAATGATCACCACAAGGTCCAGTTAATATCAGTCACCATACGTAGTTACCAAAAATTTTTTTTCTTGTAATGGAGGCTTTTAAGATTTACTCTCTTAGCAACTTTAAATATGCAATACAGTGTTATTAACTATAGTCACCATGCTGGACCTTACATCCCCAGGACTTATTTTCTCTTGTCCCTTATAAAGTCACTAATCTCATTCACAAGGACTCTACTCGCATGACCTAGTTACTTACCAAAGTCCCCACCTACTAATAGCATCGCACTGGGGATTAGGGCTACAACATATGAATTTAGGGGGACATAAACATTCATTACATAACAGAAATAAACCATTTCATTGCTGTCTGTGTCCTAAGCGCCAGGTCTGCTCAGGGCAGCCCCTCTTCTCTTCTGCGTTTCTCCATTTCTCGGGTGTGTACTTTTCCTCGTTTGCCTGTCTACCGCAGACCTGTTAGAACTCGCAGCAGCACCCCCCCCGCCCCGTCTTGTTGGTCCTCTTTAGTGTACGGGTATCACCACACATTTCCTTCATTGTTCGTGCTGCTGTGCTTTATCTGAAATTCACTCCCAAGGTTTGGCCTCTTCCATCCGCTCCACAAACATGTCCTGTGTGCCAGACCCCAGGGACGTGGGTGTCAGAGACTGCGAGCCTCCTGCTTCCATCTCCAGGAGCTTGCCCAGGCTCCCTGTGCCTCGGCCGGCGAGCCTCACCCCAAAGCAGCAGGTTTTGTCTTTCAAGAGATGTAGCCACACGGGTCGGTCACAGCAGAAATGTTGCTGTTGCTCTCATCACAAGGGCTGTTGGAATTCCACCGGGCACGGACCGTGGTTGATTCAAGCTAACATCCATTATAAGTCATGGTCCTTTTTATATTCCTCTCACGGGACAGCATTTGTATCTTGGGATTTTCTCTTGGTTTGCACAACGGTCTAAATCGTAAAACTAAGTGTGACTGAATTTCAGCAGGACTTTTTAATTGGATGTGTAGATAGTTACCTTGTTTTTCACCTTATTATTAGTCTGTCACTAGAGGGCGCTGTTGCGACACAATGGAATCACAGGGGGCACCTCCAAGCTCCTGTTTTTCTCTGCATCACCTCGAGAGGACAAAATAGATGTTTTTAAATTAACGTTCAGGAAATTTCCCCATGGGAATCTCAGTGAGAGGCAGAGCCTATCTGAAAGACATCCCACCTCCGACCTCCCCTGATTTGGCCAGTCAGGCATTTTCCTGTGGAGTTCTGACGCGCCCACGCAGGGATGGGAAGACTTCCTTAGCGTCAGGGAGGCAGGCAGTAGTGCTCTGGTCCCAGGGAGAAGTGATGTCAGTCTTTGGCCGTGGAGCCCTTAGCCCACATTGTTTTCGGGGCCTGATTTCTTTGTGTTTCTGCCCGTTCACCCTCCTTTAGTTCCCGTACATTTCCTGAGCCCAGTTCTCCAGCCTTCCAAGAAATTCATTCTCAGCTTGAATCAGCCAGGATCAGTTCTGCTCTTGCCCAAAATAACTGAGATTGGTACAGAGCGAAAAGCTGATAAGGGTTAAGGCCAAGTGCAAAACTGGGGCACTGTGTTAGGGAACTGAATTGTCAAAGGGATAAACAAAGATGTTGAAACTGTTCATTTGGGGGCTCAGTATCTCTTTGAAGTTCTCTTTGCTTTGATTCGCTTGACTTACTTTCCTATTGGATTGCTTCCCTCTTCTCCCTCATGGCTGTGATAATAAGACCTGCCCCCTCCCCTTTAGCAGGCTAAGAAGGGAGCAGGATGGGACTCAGAGAGTGGGGACAGGGTCCCTTATGAGAAGCAAGTCTTCCTCTAGACTTTTGTCCAGGCTAGACAAGAAGAATCCTGTAGGCTACATGTGGTCTGGCTTAGGTCACCAGGACAGGGCTTTGAATTAGTTAGAGCCCTTTCATTTATAAGCAAGAGAGACTGAGAACTAATTTAAACAAAAAGGGGAAAGAAGGAAAGCTGCTAAGTCCTGTAACTAAAAGACTGTCAGGGAACTGCAGGCCCAGTGTCACATCCCACCAGCATAGCCCCCTAGTGGAGAGACGGAGTATTTTCTCAGAGCTCCAGAAGAAAATTCTCAGAGAGGGCTCTGATTGGCCTGAGTCACATGTCCATCCCTGGACCAATCACTGTGTCCAGATGATGGGGTTCTCTGATTGGTGAGAGTTTGGGGGGGCAGGAGAGAGGGAGGCAGCCCCACCTGAACAACGTGGAAAGGGTCCCCACGAGAAAGAGACTTTCTGTTAATCAGAAGTGAGAGAGCTGTTGGCAGGCAACAAAAACAAGTGTCCAGTCCTGGCCAAAACTATAGCTGGTAACAAAGGAAGAGCACCCTCTGCATGGTCCCTGTGAGGGGGACACTGCATGTGGCGCCTGGGCACCTCTTCCTTACAAAGAACATGCCTTTTGACAATGTGAGACCTTCCAGCATTGCCCTCCATCAGTCTGTTTTGTTTTCTTAGAGCCTTATTAGTTTCCTGGAGCTGTTGTAACAAATGAATGCAACAGTCTTGGCGTAAAACTACACAAAGTTATTCTCTCACAGTTCTGGAGGCCAGAAGTCCAA